TCCCATTTTTGCTCATTTCTCGGAGGCAAAATGAGCAAGAACGCTCATTTGTACATCATTCTAGACAGAAATAAATGGCCTTTTTAGAAAGTGAAGCATCGATAAGGAACTGTTCCCGCTTTTGTGGGGCACTCAAGGAAATCTCTAGAGCATAAGAAAATTCAATATTCTTTGCCCAGCTTGGGTTTCATGCTGGTGCTCAAGTTTCCGCTATTACTCAATTGTTTCCAAAGACACTCAGGCTATTTAAGCAAAACGGGTGACCGAAAATACTGGGTGTCCAAATAAACTCAATGTATTCAGTGTGTATGACTCTAGAATCCAAAGACTTTTGCGAGTAATTCAAACATGAAAGAGGCTATTGATCATAAATAAGTAACCGTCTCGTGAACGGCACCCTAAAGTTGGAACAGCTTTGGCTCATTTTGATCACACTTTTGTTCGCATGCCAAGTGTTTTTTTCGATCTTTTAGCTGCAAATTAAGCGCTTTTAATATTTTGATCCACTCAATATCGTTGGTGAGCCGCTTGACAGAATAAAAAAACTCAATACAGCCGCAAATTTGATACCGGCAGTAATTCAATATTCGTAAGAACGACAGAAAAGGAAGAAAACACGAATAGGATATGTCGATTGCTTCGTGAAGCAGTTACACTGCAAAAACATGCAATTTTTCCAAACAATCTTCCTGGCTAACACACCAGCTGAATTCTGCGTAAAACTAGGAACCTTCTTACGATCAAAACTGCAATTAGTCTTCGTATTGGCCCGTTGGACGCCTGAAAAGGCCTGAAAGCGTTTTAAAGCGATTTTCCTTCCGAAATGTTTTTGCAGTGTAAAAGCTCCTGGTTCTACCTTTCAGTTTTTCAGTGTAGCCGGTTGTAAGGGAATATCTATTTTGTGTTTAAGAACCCACTGTGACAGCAAAGCAATACTTAAGTATGTGATTTGATTTACACCCAGCATTAGCAGTTTAGTTTAGCATGAGGGGAAATACTAGTGGTTCCATTTTCCGGGTATGTTTCGGTTCTGAGCACCGTTTTTTAATGGTGTCGAGAGTGTTTTTGGTTCTAGCACCATTATCAAATGGTACTTACACCGAACATTTCAACAGTGGAGCGTCTTCAAGTGATCCTAGTCTTTTCTCGGTAAGTTTTCAGTTATTTTCGTTATATTTATAGCCAAACTAGTTGA